TTTTCGCTCGACATTACGAGCACTGCTCCGTTTAAGCCCTCGCAGTCTGCGTTTACTTTAGCCGGCAGAGCTCGCGCTGAGAGGAGCTCTCAGTAAGGGACCGTCGGAAAAGTGTTTATTTTTTTTCGTTTTTTTTTTTTGTCGTTTTTCTGCTCCGCTCAGCGCGAGCTCTCTCTGTTGCGAGGGCTTAAGTGTGTGTGTTTGTGTGTGTGTGTGTGTGCACGTGTGTGTTTGTTTGTTTGATGCTGTCTATGTTTTTAAATGTGTTTGAATGAGAGACAGTGTGGTGCTGTGTGTCTGTGTTTTTATACAGACAGCATGTTATAGCCTCCCCCCTAAAATATAACACTGTATATGGAAAGCATCGTCAATGCACCGTGATATCGAATTGAACTGAATCGATGGCATGATAATCGTAACCGAACCGAACCGTGAGACCAGTATAGGTTCACACCTCTACCGAATACCCGCAAGCAAATGATAATTTCCTTAAAATCGCGCATCTCACCCCCCTCCTGCCCCCTGTTTTATAAATATGTTGCACACTCCTCTCTCCCCACCTATCTTCACATCATAGCTTCACATACATCGCTTGTTTTTAAGTTGCACACTGCATACCTTGATTTTACCAGTTCGGCCCACTTGTGAACAGATTTTACTTCATGTGACCTGAGCTAAAATGAGTTTGACATCCCTGATTTAGATAGCTCAGCATGGCATACCATAACCAGCTGTTATAAAGCTGTATCTGATCATTATTAGCAAGAGAGCGGGAACACTTCCCTATAGACATTATAATTTGAACGGCATTTGCGCTTATGTTATGTCTTTTTTTTTTTTTTCATTATTCCTGAGGTTTCCATAATCCTGGACCAGGCCGTATCCTGAGCAGCTGCTGTGGTGTTTATGGAGGAGTGAAGAGCCTGAGACTGATCCTTGTAAGACCCCAGTGACAGTCGAGTCCTCGCATTAATCCTTAAGAGACAGCCTGTACACCAACCGGTGACTTCTCCCACCTGCAGCTTCTCCACGATGGACGCCCAGCGCTCTCCAGCCTCCGCTGCCTAGACAGCAGCTCTGCAGAAGACGTTTGACCATAGGAGAAATGGTCGTGCCCAACTGAGCCTGATTTCTCTCAAGGTTTTTTAATTCTTCTCTTTTGCCAATTGGTAAAGTTTTTCCTCGGCACTTTCGCCACTGGCTTGCTTGGTTTGGGACTTGTGGAGCTGCGCATCGATGGATTTGCTCTTCAGTGTTTGGACTCTCAGCAGTGTATATTAAACCACACTGAACTGAACTAAACTGAACTTCAACACTGAAACTGAACTGACACTGTTTCAATTTACTATGGTCTTCTATGTGAAGCTGCTTTGACACAACCTACATTGTAAAAGCGCTATAGAAATAATGGTGAATTTAATTGAATTGAAGAGAGAGAGAGAGAGAGAGAGTGGAATTATCGTTTGGTTCTTTTAAACTGAAAAGAAGAGTCAGCAGAATGACAATTCTTCTTGATGGATTTGAATCCAAACTTTGTAATCGACTTTTGATCCCCAAATAACAACTGATACAAATTTGCTAACATATCGTAGCATCCATGCAAGTGAACTTGGGCGAAGTGTTTTTCTTCCTGCAACATTCAGGTAAGCTATGTTTTGGGTACCTTGATTTCCAAAAATGTACCAAATGGAAACCATATGGGGAACTGAGATGTTAACTGGCACAAATATATATTCAATATACCATTATTTAATTAGGTGATCCAATTACCATCACAGAGCCATTTCATACAAACTATGCTGCCAAGTTGTGCCTCTTTTATATACCATGTACCAATTAGTTTAAGAGCGATAGTACTGTATGTGTTTATCTTTCTAGGACACTGTTATGGATTATAAGATAACAGACGGTGATTTTAAAACAATTTTATCTCACATCAATACACTGCAGTCAGTGTAATAAATGTTAATTTAGTGTGAAAATGTTTTCCTGAAACAAGACCCCTTTACGAAAAACAAAAGTTGGACAAATGGATAACAGATATGAAGTAAAAATGTGTATTAAAGACTATTACTAAAGGATGAATTTCCCGTTTGCATTCTGAACGAGCAGTTGCAGGTTTGTATTTTGCCATTTTAAGAAAAAAACTGAGAATATGTGTAGTATAAAAACTGTGATAAATAAAGTTGGAAATGAAAAACTGTCACACAACAAATTCACATTTATAAAATAAATGAATATATAAATACAGAAATATATAAAAAATAAGAACTGCTCAATGTAAAATCTATATAAATTCAGAATTTCAGGTAAGACTTTATTTTGATGGTCCCTATTGTACATTTTGCTGACTAAAAGTTGCATTGAAACTACATGCCAATTACTTCTCGTTTCAGTATCAGTAGACTTTTTGCTTAATATCTGTTGATACTGCTCCTTTAACATTAAACTGACTATGAAACTTTGCAAGTACATGTCACCTTACACTAACTCTAACCCCAACCTAGCAGTATACTTATAATCTAATGATAATTAGTTAGCATGTAGATTCTATGTAACTTAAATTCAACAAAATGTGTTAAAGGGACAATCAAAATAAAGTGATACCAAATTTCATAAAAAAAGTTCATATGTCACAATTTGTAAATATCTTGCATGTAAATGCAAGTTTAGATTTTTAAACAGTAATTTTATTTCTCACTTTTATACCACAAATCTTTTGTTTCTCAATTCTGAAAAAGTAATTCAGGGAGATGTCAGCAATAGTAAAGTCAAAATGGTTTCTATAAACAATACAAATGTTTGTCAATAATATAATAGGGACTACTTAATGGCAAACATGCAAAAAGAAGTGCAAAAGTAGATCCTTCCCTCGTCAACAGTGCAAATGCGCAGCGTCAGCATCTCCACAGGAGTTTGTCGTGTCTTGTTGCGTCACTATAGTGTAAACGGGTGTAACGCAACACCCCGATTGCTTCCTTTAGAAGCGTTTGTTGTGCTATATTTGCAGATTTGACCCTGGGGATGACCAAACAACTGTCTCAACTATTATTAGAATGACCAGACCATTGAGTCTATTATTATCCACCAGAATTCACAGAAAAAGCCATTTTAAAAGATTAATATGCAGCATCCAGATTGAAAAAGGGTGAAGTTGTCTGATAGTCCATAATGCACAGTCATGCTGTTTTCTTTACTCATGTTGTCCGCTTTGTTAAACAGTGGATTGCACACAGGGTTACTTGGCTCACTTATTCAGCGTTATTTAGTGTACACTGCATAAAATATTTTCTTACTTGGATTTTTTTGTCTTGTTTCTAGTCCAAATATCTAAAAACTCTTACAGCAAAAAGAATTTTCTAGACAAGCAAAACATATTATCCTGTTTTAAAAAATACCATGCCAAAATCAAGTGAGTTTTTCCTTAAAACAAGCAAGATTATTTTGCTTCCCTCATTGGCAGATTATTTTGCTTGTTTTAAGGGAAAACTCACTTAATATTGCCATATTATTTCTTAAAACAAATAATATCTTGTTTAGAAAACTTTTTAAAAGATTTTTTTAATATGTGGACTACAAAAAAGACAAAAAATCTAAGTGAGAAAATCACTTTTTGCTGTATAATTATCATTTTTCAATTGTAAAATTTTAAAAACAGCTTAAAGACAGACCTGTTAAAAGACGTAAAATGTTAGTTTTAGCATCAGAAATGTTGACAAAACTTCTATTATTTCTATAATAACATACAATTTCACAAAATAAACATGTATTTGTATACACACTGGATTCCACTCATAATATTCATGTTGTCCCAACACAATTCGAATAAGTTAGCTTAATTGTTTTTACAAATTTAAGTAGATTAAAAATAAAACAATTCTGTTGTCAACCCCCCCACCCCCCCACCCCCCCCCCCCCCCCCCAAAAAAAAGGTTGATTCAGCTCATTTTAATTAAGCTGTTTAAACAAACAGCAAGTCGTTTTTTGAATGTATATACATCATGCTTGTGAAGTTTTTTTATTGGCACAAAGTTTTTTATATATATATATATATATATATATATATATATATATACTTGAAACTCTTTACTTGAAGTAATTTTATGATCTTAAATCAACATTGATATTTTTTCTCACAATAATTTTCTTTACAGTAAAACACATTTTAATAAAAATAAAATTAAAACATTTTTCTTATTTTTTCATTTATTTTTTATTTAATATTTTTTAGGTTTTTTGATTTTTTTATGGGAAACCAGATATTTCAAGAAAATCAACATTTAACAGTCTTATATTATTAATATTATTTTGTTGATATATGATTTATTTATAGTAAACTGAATATTGGTAATATATATTACATCACAACATATTATATTATATTATATTATATTATATTATATTATATTATATTATATTATATTATATTATATTAAAGTTATGCCATTATAAAATATACAATGGTTAAACCCTGTTGCTTTGGGCATGGCTCTATTTAGTTAACTAGGTTTTATAAAGACCCTGATAGCAATTTACTAACATTTAAAGACATTACATTTTTCTAAGAATGTTTGCAATCGTCAAACAATCAAAATACGTTTTTTTTTTCCATCACTTCAAAATAAACTACTAGTTATTACGCAATTCTGCAGAACAGTTTCTGCTTCATAAACTCAAAGTCTGGCGTAAGTTTAAAGCAAACAAATTTAGATCAAATAACTGCTATGCAGGAATAATCATCCCTCTTTCCACTTTAAATGCAAACAGACCCCAAATCACTTCGCCGCTCCTTATCCAACTGTTTGAACCCCCCCACAAACAGCCCCAAATCATAACGAGAAAGTTTCTCGACTTCCAAATGTCACCTGATAAATTTCGGTGGGCAAACTATTACAATGCTCTCCCCACCCCCCTATGAAGTATGAAGACCGCCCACCACAGGCATCCAGCTCGAGACCCCATATAGATTTAAAAAGCGAGCCCGATTCCGTGTGTATGACAGTCAGTGAGCGCCAAGCATCGGGAGAACATCTGTCCGTCTGCAGTCCGTCTCCAGCGCGCGCGTCTCTCCACTGTTTCTGAGGATGCGGCAGTTCCCGCAGCTCCGCCAGGGCGTCCTCGCGCTCCTCATCTGGTTCGCGCACTTGATGGAGGAGCAGAAAGTACAAGGTAAACTGCCATTTAAAGTTTGAATGAGGAAATCGAGCACTGGTTTGGATTTAAGCAGCTTGCGTGGTGCATGCGGTTGCGCGCTCGTGCGTAAAAACTGACAAAGTACGAAAGTAGACTTGCTTTTATGACACTTGCGAGAATTTAAGGTAGCTATGCATTGGAAAGAAAGCACTTTGGTGATCTTGAAATGATTAAGATGTTCGGATAAGGTGCTAAACTGCACATTAAGTGTGTTTTTTTTATTAATTTTGTTGCGCTTATGATGGACTTTGGTTTAAGCGGTTGAGGATGTTTCCGTGCAGAGCATAAAACGCTTGCACAACCGCAATACAGAGTTTCTTCAGAGTTTGAGTGGATTCAGATGGCTGCCTCTTTGAACATTTTGGAATTTCAAACCCAAGTTCCTTTGGAAATAACCTTAAAATCATTTTCGCATGTTTGTTTGATCTTTCCCCGGTAAAACTCGGTGGTTATTTTTGAGTTATTAAGTAACCTGGAAGGCAGTATGTAACCAAATATTTGATATTGATGTGACCCAAGATAAAACTGTAAGTCAATGCAACACACAGTTTTGAATGTGCTCCTTCAATGTAGGCTCTGCTTGGCATTAATTACCAAAAATCAGCTGCATAGAGAGCCTATATAATAAAGTGACTCTTTCCAGCCGGCAATTGCTGGCTTCAGCAGGGCAAGAACGGGAGATGCCAGGTTCTCTACATGTCTGGGATGAGCCGGGAGGACTGTTGTAAAAGTGGTCGTTTGGGTACAGCATGGACTGAGGAGGATGTACCCAATAACACGCTCTTCCGGTGGCTGATCTTCAATGGTGGAGCACCAAACTGCATACCTTGTAAAGGTACCACTTTTGAATGACTTCCAGAAAGGAGATTTTGGAGATATACAAATGAATGAAACTGATATGTCAGCTCATTTCATCCTCTAATCGTAATCTTTTTTTATTGGTTCTGCAGAGACTTGTGATAATGTGGATTGTGGTTCTGGAAAGAGGTGCAAAATGAACAAGCGAAACAAACCCCGCTGCGTTTGTGCGCCAGACTGCTCCAATGTCACCTTTAAAGGGCCTGTGTGTGGCTCCGATGGGAAAACATACCGGAATGAGTGTGCCCTCCTTAGGGCCAAGTGCAAAAGGCACCCTGACCTGTCTGCGCAGTACCAGGGAAAATGCAAAAGTACGTTCAACTTAAAAAACTACTTTTTTTAAAACGTGTTTAAGTAGGCTTGCTCTGTACAAATCAGTTTTTGTGATCATAGAACATTTTTTGCATGTGAAAGTGTTTTGTGATGACATCACTAACACACACAAATATATTTTGTTGCTTATTTAAATTGCTTATTTAAAAATGAGCTAAAACAACAATTCTTGAGATTTTTTGCGTACACTTAATTGTTTTATGTTCAATCCACTAAAATTTGTTAACTTAATCGAATTGTGTTAGGACAACATGAATGAATTGTGTGGATCCCAGCTTTTTTTTTTACAGTGTAGTAGACAATGCAGCCTATTGTATAATGTAGAAACTTTTTCAGTAAATTGCCATTTTCATCTTTTTATGATCAAATCAATTCCAAATTGTTAAGACCATTGTCGCATAGAATATCCTGTAGTGAAACGGTTGCTTCATGTTGACCAAAACTATGCAAGGCTACATTTGCAATATCTAATCAAGATTTTAATTAAAAGTTTACACTTGTAGTCCATCTCTTTTTGTTTGTTTGGTCCGAACAAAATGATAAATAAATCTGGTATAGCACTTTTTTTTTATCTGAACCTGACTGAAATATTTTTGTGACATAACTTATCTAATATGCAAAACCTAAAAACAACTGAATAACTGATCAATTACAATAAAAACACTATGCTCACCATAATATACATACATAGACACAATAAATATGTTGACACTTGAAGAGTTCAGATGCAAAAACCTTTTAAGTGCCGTCTGAAATTTCAGTTGAAAATTACTTTTTTTTCATGTTGAGATATTTCATTAATAAAAGTGATATTACTAAACATACACACAAAAGCCTGGCAAAACTTTTAGAGGACAATTTCAGATGGCATTCAGAGGTTTTTGCATCTAAACTCTTCACTTCTATGCTCTGAAGCTGCTTTTAAGTAAGTGGCATGCAACCAGAAGTAAAAAGTTGTTAGCTGAAGTTGCTGCCAACTTTGACGGCTTGTAATTTTCCTTCAGAGTCGTGCTATGACGTGCGCTGTCCTGGAAGCTCAACATGTGTATTGGACCAGACCAACAACGCCTACTGTGTGACCTGCAACCGCTTCTGCACTGAGGTGACCTCACCGGAGCAGTACCTGTGTGGCAATGACGGGAAAGTGTATGCCAGCGCCTGCCACCTTCGACGGGCCACGTGCATCATGGGACGGTCCATCGGAGTGGCCTATGAGGGGAAATGCATAGGTGAGAATAAGACAAAAATCTCGAGCTTGCACAATCCTTTCTTAAAACATGTGGTTCTCATTACTCTGTTTTCTGTTGCAATAACACATTCATGTTTCACATGGGCAGTTTTGACTCTTGCTGCTTTTCTGCGTTATTTAATATCTTTTCAAACCACACTGGGTGAAAAGGGGACTAAAATTAACATTCAATATGAGGCTGGAGGAAGTGGGTTTACATTAAAGGAGTCGTTCACTTCCAGAATGAAAATTTTACCCTCGATTACTCCCCTACAAACACGAGACTCTTTCCACTGTTCAGGGCAAATAAAGATATTTGGAAAAATGTTTGTTGATGGGCACAACTGACTTCCACAATAGGTAAACGTTACTATGGAATCAATGGTGACCATCAAATAGATGTGGAAGCCAATGGTGGCCAATCATTATGAAAGCCAAACAACTCTATTAAGTGAAATCCCATTTGCTTTTTCAGGGTTTCTGAAAGTTTTATGAGGGCAAATTTGAGACTTTTTAAAAACCTTTTAAATACTAACTAATGTAAATCTAAAGAAAAAAATAAAAGGGAAAACAATAGTGTAATAAGTTAGACCTACCAGCCTGATCTCGCAAAGAAACTTAACTATATTACTGTACTTTTTGTCAGTTTAGTGGCTAATTTGTATGAGTTCAGTTATACAAGCATGTATGATTTTTAAAGGGGGGCGTGGCACCAAATCCTACCCAACCCAACCGCCATTGGGGGATGAGCCAATCATACTAAATTTGGGGGTAAGCAAATCATACAAATGAAATGATTGGGATAAATGAATGAGCCACTAATTAAAAAAGTTACAAATTGCCATGAGATAGCGTTAGAACAACTTATTCACCTTATTCTTTGTTTACGAGTGGGCGCAGCCATTTGAATTATTTTGGTTTGAGACTTCAAATCTCATTCACTTCCATTTATTTTTAGACATTAAGAACAGCTCGTTTTGCTGCTTGATGTTGCAAACTGATCTTTTCTTATTAACGTTATATTATTCTACTTGGTCTGTATAGACATGCAAACACTTGCTTGTAGAGCAAGTAGTTTGACCGTTTTCTGCCGATTATTATTCCAAATCATTTGTCCCATAGGAAACTCAATCGGAAGTTCTAAAACAATCGCAAAAATGAGCGTACTTCCACATTGAAGAATAAGGTCAAAGATAATTTGAGGTATAATAACGAAGTATAATCTACGTATAATGACATGATCACACCGAACATGCTTTTTGTTCCAAAAATGCGGAGCACACCACACTGCCTTTTTTGTTGACAAGAAAAAAAGAATCGAGGTGCGTTTTTTATGTTGCAACACAACTACTAAATCATCTGCGTATAGTCCACAGAGTGTTGTTGTTGATATTGTTATATTTTTAATATTTAATGTTACTGTAATATTCAAACTTTGTGAAGTCATACAGCTCTGGATAACTCAAAACAGCTTTAAAAGTCTCTGTAGTTGTCTTAGCAACACAAATACTGCTCTCACCTCAACCAAAGAGCTTAGAATCACCAAGAGGTGAAACTCAATAAATTGTCCCAATGCAACAGCAGCACCCAGCAAGAGCCCCAGATTACGCCATTTCTGAGTGAAAGCGATCAGCCGTCCATTGTATCTTATTGCTGTCGCAATCAAGCAGCTGCTTTGTTTTTTATTTATTTATTTATTTATTTAAAAAGCACATTAAAGCTGAGATACAACCTAAAAGACAACAATACAACACTTACTATCACAATCATCAGCACTTTTAATAGTTTATGTTACAGACTTATAATATGCTGTTGTTCTATTGGAATTTTCATTCCAAAATGGCCGCCGCGGCATCTAGTGGCTGTTTCCCAAATCGCACTAGAGTGTCGCCTCTTTGTGATTCTATGGTCTTTGCCTCAACAGAAACCCCTCCTCTGCTTTCATTTGATTGAAGAATGAAAAAGACACGACTGACGTAATGCACGTTTTTCTCTCAGAGTAGACTTTTTCAACTGCGAGCACACACCGTACAATGGCAAAATCACGAGACACAGCAGGCAGTTAAAACACGAGGTGCACAACATAAGCAGTGCACAAAATCCTCGCGGTTGTTAGTAAACCATTAAAAAAAAGCACCTTTCAACACAAAAAGCGTGTTCGGTGCGATTGGTCACTTTTACAGTATTATACATAAATAAACTGCCTTATAATGATTTTCAAAATATACAATAAAAATTGCAACACGTCTCTAATTTACATCAGTCTCAAAAAAGCTCCAAACACTGCCACTAGATGGCACCACTAACTCGTCTGGTTAGTGTGTCGTGGAATTGAATGGTTAAAGTCATCATCTTGTCATGATGTTACATATTACAAACACTTTTATATACACACAGTGCATCCCACAGATGTAAGAATAAAGGGAAATCTGTAATTTTAGGGTACAGTCACATGCTCATCCCTGAATGACGTCCTGAATGAAGCAGTAACAGCTCATTCTCAAGCATGGTAAACGATGATGATGATGATGATCCTCACTGCAGAAATTATTCTTGTGCTTCACTTTAAAATAAAACAATTCCTCATAGGGCTGGGCCGATAAACTACATTATATCGAATCCTGGTTAAATAAATGTCAAGAACAATGATAAGCTCTGGACTTTTTTTTTACTCTATATTGATCTAAGAGCCAACCAAACAGTAAAAATGTGCAACAATAGCCCCTTTTACACATACAGACCTTTCAAAGGTTGTATGTGTGAACAGGTCCTTTTTGAAAATACCGGTAAATTGGTTCTGGCTATTTTCCGGAAAGAGAAGTTATAACATTACCGGCAATTTGCCGGAATGCTGCGCTGTGTGAATGCAGAAGGAAGATTCCCGTAATAAGCGCGTGCACGTCTAGAACGTGCTGACGTGAGACGTCTGCTTTAGCCAATCACAACAGTCAGACGCATTTACGTCCGCGCGGTTTGTGAGGATAAAAGCCTTTGAATATTTTTCCAGACACATTTAGCTGCTAGAAGTTAGTCAAATCACGTTTATATGTTCTTCTTAATGTCAACTGTGTAAATAATCATCGATGAGATGCTTATGATAAGCCGTTGTTTGTTTACCTTCAAGCTTTGCGTGCGCCTATGAGCGCCTGCACACGCACATATTATGAACATCTTGACATGCGAAAGTGATCCTGCGAAAGTTGTTCACAATATTGATCATCCACAGAGTTTGTAATTTAGTCAAATGTTTACAAATACAAGCGCAGCCGTTTAAAGCTCATTTGTGGTGAATGATGTCAGAATTTACCGGTATTTTGGAATGGATGTGTGAATGCTCTTTTCCAGAAAATTTCCGTAACGTCCTCGCCTGTGTGAACAGCGCTTTTTTCAATATACCGGTAAAGTCGTTCCGGAAATTTTCCAGAAATTTACCGGTATCACTGTGTGAAAGGGGCTAATGATAATCTAAAGTGCGTTGAAATCAGAGATGTACCAAATTTTTGGCCACTGAAAATTTATCGGCTGAATATATGTTATGCCATTTAATGGACCTTCTATTTTTTGTGGCTCTAGTCATTGTTGAGGTACTGTTTTAATTCTGGAAGGATTACAAACTTATATCAACATATATATCGGTATTTTTCAATATGGAAAAATTATCAAGGTTGCATTTATGCCATATCGCTTCGCCTTAATTCTTCATGCGAATTAATCTTATAATCTCATTCACAGAAGAGCCATTTAAGACTTTTTAAGCCCAACAGAAACCCTGTTTTCGTGTCATTTTCAGATGCCAGGTCCTGTAAAGACATCAACTGCCGAGAGGGGCGGAAATGTTTGTGGGACAAGAGGACAGGACGGGGACGCTGTGCGGTGTGCGAGGACACCTGTCCCGAAAGTCGCCCAGGCGATAGTGTCTGCGCCAGCGATAACACCACCTACCCGAGCGATTGCGCCATGAGGCAGGCCGCCTGCGCTTTGGGGCTCGTCCTGGAAGTCAAACACTCGGGCTCCTGCAACTGTAAGTAGAGGATGCCAAACCTGGTCACACTCATATCCTGCATTCCCTCCCCCTGCCGAAAAACACCCCCATTTCTTGCCCCCTTCCCATTGCTAACCCAACAAGGAACACAAGGACTGTCAGAAAGAGACATTCTGTGTTTTTTTAACTCAGAGGCAATGATGCATTAGAAGTGTCTGGGACGCTCTCATCTATCTTAAATCTTTGAGGTCAAGATTGGAAGGATTTCCATTTGGGATGCGAGAGTTTTGACCATGCTGCTCCTCCGCTTTGTGCGTCAGAGACAGAAACGTGACGAGTCGTGTGGAAAGTGCATAGGGACGTAAACTCACTTAGCGTGTTTGTTTCTTGTTGTCTCAGCCTATGGTTGACCTTTTTTTTGTGATGATCACAGATGAATGGACAAAGAAAAACAAACCTGATGCCATTACAGGCAGAATTTTGCCAGTTTTAGAGGCAGGAATGCCAAAAAAAGAGGCAAACATTCTTAGAGTTTAAGATATTGGGACAAAAACATGTATTTTAATATATATAGATATATTTCTGAAACATATTTTAATTACATTTCTTAAGACGGTCGCTGTGCTGTGTTTTTATGAGTTAACATTTGGACCTTTGTCTATCGTCTTTGCATAATAAAGGGAAACGTAAGCATTTTTTCCACTGTCGATTTGTTATGTCCATTTTGCCTATTTAGATGTTTCTTCACTTAAAATGTTTTTCCACAACACCACTTCTTTGGTTCTGACCTTATAATAGTTCAAACGTGGGACATAACAAATGTCATGTGGAAAAAATGTGATTCTGTGTTTCAGTATGAACATGTTTAGATGGTTCACTGATCATTTGTTAATGGCTTAAAGCAGAACCATCTTTCAGCCGTCCCGGTCTGTGTGTGGTATTGACAAATCATCTTCCAAAAAGCGATATTTTTGTTTATAAGAAGGGATTGCGTCATGTCTCTTTGCTTGATGTTATTTGATTTTATACAAGAAAACGCTAATAAAAGACAGGGGGTAAGGCATGGTTCCATAGCAAAACTCAATCCCACCCTCTCCTTTCACTCTGAGCTGTGATCCCACCACCTTTTGTGAATTGCAAAGCATCATTAGAGATGCTTTGGAAGACAAAAACAAAAAAAATGCAGTGCCTGAATGCTGTTGTGTTTTATACTAATGCAACAGCTACTATATTCCTCCATAGCTCTCTCGGAAGAGACGGACGAAGAGGAGGACGATGAAGATTACACGGATTATAGCCATGTTTCTCTGTTATTGACTGGATAAACTGCCGTCGACAGCGCAGAGTCGTGTTCATATTTGTACATACGTGTATTCTTATTTATTTTCCACGGACAGGTGGAAGATGCTTATTGTTCTAGATGTTTATTTATACATTTGTTTGTCTTCTTATTTATACATTTATAGTCTGAATAAATGAACTGTCTCTTATTCTTTTCTTTGTCGTCTTTGTAAGAATATTATTTATTATAACGTGCAATGTTAAGGGTGTTTTGAAAAGTTCTGTGAGCCTAAACAGTTTCCGTCATCTTCCCAAATGAAAGTAAAACGTGCATGTGTTTTATTTATTTACAGTCTACTATAGCAGAAATCTGGTTTGGTTTACAATCGAAGCTGAGAAATGTCAGTAAAATCTATATATGTATGATTTCTTGCTCACTCTGACATAAACACCAAAAAAATAATAATAAAATGACAGAAATTGTTGCAATTGCTGTGTGCTGAACTTTAGATATGCCATTCTTTTGACAATATTGTTTGTGGGTGTTCAGAAAGAGGTATCTAGTTTATCATATATTGTATTAACAACATCAATCTAAGCATTTTCTTGCCATATATATTGTGTCTTTTTTTTACCTTAGAGATCCAGCTATAAATGTATAGTTTTGTATTTGTATGTAAATGTATATAAAGTTGCCATTTGTAAAGATGCATTACTGAACAGTAAAACCTAAAAGGAAAAAAGTCTCCTGCTTTATTTGTAGTGGTTGGATTTTCAACACAGCACCAAAATCTAATCTCTGGGAAATGTATCCAGAAGCTTCACAAAAATGTAAATCTTACCTTTTTTTAAATTGTAATTAAATGTCAAATGTAATTGGCCATGACCTTGGATCCCAGAGTGGGAATCTGTTATTCTCTCTCTCACACACACACACAACGATGGCAGAAGCCACCGGAACTGTCTGCTCTGCAGCAAGCAAACTAATTTGCCAGGAAGTTGCACAGACGGCTAATTGGAAAGGAGAGCGACACCATCTCTTCACTTTGCAAGGATTCATTAGATCTTTATCGGTAATTCAAACCCACAGAGATGTTTCTCAGATGGTGTGGGAACACCATTGTTTGCGGTTGCACATCAGATTAACAGGTTTCCACAGCTAAAGGGAAAGTTCAGCCAAAAATGAACTGAAAGAGAAGCTATATGTCGGAAACTGTCTGCAGTAGAGCTGTGGGATTTGGGGAAAATATCTAATTGCGATTTTTCTGACAGATATTGCTATGTGATTTGCAATTTAATTTTGTAGTCAACCTTCGGGTCAATAATTTGTAAGCCGTGGCAACAATTCTGTGACCTCTCTTAAAAATGACCTGTTTTTGTTTGGTGTCTGTGACTTTGAATATACCAAAATATTCCCATATTACCGATTTCCTGTTTTTCTTTGATATTAATTTGTCTATTAATGCTTCTGAAGCAGCAGATGCCATTATCCAAATTGTCTGCGCAATATTTGGTTGCGCAATTCTGATTGGGCAGAACAAAAGTTTGCTCACTCAATTGGCTAGTGAGACTGTCATGGATTGCAGACACGCATTAACTCTGAGCGGGGAAAATTAAATCACACATTTATTTCTTATTGCAGCCTCTAGAGATTAGCTAATGGCAATGTTTCAAATTGCAATTGCGATTCGATTTCAATTAATCGCACAGCCCTAGTCTGCAGCCATAGTATTTTTTCCCCAACTCTATGTCAATGGCCACCAGTTTCCACCATTCTTCAAAATATCTTCTTCTGAGCTCAACAGAAACACATAAATGTTCTGAAACCCTTTAGGTGGCTGAGTAAATTCTTGTGTATTTTCAAGTATTCAGTAAAATCTGGCTGAATCAGCGATGGTCTGATGGGGGAATATGGGCACCCGGCTACACTCATACCTGCTGGGCAGCATCTGTGAAGCTTCAGAGACAGGGACGAGTAATCATATCTGAAATGAGAGCGACGGGGACGATTGTAATCGAGAGTGAACACTGTCTCGTTGTTTTGGAAAAAAAAAATTGCAGGCAGCCACTATAACAATGTTAAGAAAAGCTGACGTTACATAAGAGAGGACAGACTATTTTTCCATAGTCATGCTGATGGAGTAAAATGCTGACCTTCCTATTTGGGGAGATTTAAATCATTTAATAAACATTTTTAAAGGATTATAAAAACAATAAAATTACATAGTGTCATTTTGTAAATGTTAAAGTAATGTTACTGTACATTTAAATGTTTCAACATTTTGAAACAAGAAGCCAAGCTAACATTTACGAACAGACAAGGAACAAACTTTCTATTAATGTTATTGAACATTTAATCATAAAAATGGATAATATTAAATGTCTTTTAAATAATGTGAAATGTTTGAGTTGAACACCATGTCGTTACATTTTTACATTTGTGGACAGAGATTTATTAAAAATATCATAAAAGGTGTATAATTTGGTTTGCAAACTAACTAAGGACGAACGTTATTGGAAGAGAATTTGTTCAGAACTTAATCTTTAGGCTAAAGCTAATGTGATACCACAAAAATAGAAAGCCTTTTGTTTTAAATACCACACCAAATTAAGGGTAGGCTACGGTGCTGAATTTTTCAGCTAAAGAAATTATACTGCGTCGGATATCTAGGCACCAAATGTGTTTTCCTAAACTAAATGTGAAGACAAACAATAGTTTACCGTAGAAATAGCTGCATGAAGACGCCTTAGCAAGCAGCTCGCAAAAACAGATTCGAAGACTCACTACGGCCGATTCTGTGAACGAATCGCGAATTACTTTGAACGAGTCTGTTAAAAGAACAATGATTAAACTCACAGAATCGTTCAGAGCAGTTAATCAATATCTGACTCGTATGCCCTACTTTCTGCACTTAACTTTTTGTTCACTGTTATTTAACTGAATGGAACTGACTGGCATTAATAATGAATGACACTATGGTATAATGGCACTATACACAAATGGAACTGAGTGTTTAATTACCAGGATGATTTGGGGGCGCAAAGCAGTTCCAGACATTACAACAGTCCAAAAATGCACCTTTTATAGTTTCATAATGTATTTATTTATTTTGCCGTTTTTTCTATCACTGAATCTTCTTTTCATGAAATCTCCACATTTGATTTGTTTTCTTAAAATTCATTCAAGACTAAAAAAATGAATTAATCAAAAATAATAAGTTGGTTTTTAAAACTGAGTCTTTACCTTACTTGACGGTTCTATGATTAGGGATGTAAGACAATTTGTGTAGGTGTCATAGTTACGTTAAATTTTAATTTGTTAGACCCTCATTATACAAAATATGATAGAAACAATATTATGTGTACAATTGTTAATTCTGGGTAATTATTGGGGGCCTCCAAATCTCCTGGGGCCTTAAGCGGCTGCTTACTTCTCTTATTGGTTAAATCCTCCCATGTGAAAAATTTACCATTTTAGTCCTGTTTAATTACTGAAGTTTTTCTTTTGAAGTTTTTCTGCCTGTCCAAAAACAGTGGTGCTTTATATTGCAAAATGCTTTTTGTTGTCATATTAATCAATAAACACACTCAGCTGAAACACTGATATAATTTACTTTATTTGTGTAATTTTTTAAGTACAATTTATGAATCAGAAACAGCTTGGTTTCATTATAGTAATAATATAAAGTAGCCATGCAATTACCATTTGTATAAGACGTTTTACTATCAGAGTTAAACTGTGTTTAGTGTTACAAAACTGAGGTTAGGAGCGAGCGGGCACAAAGTAACACTTTTTGGTTTTGGCCAAGTAATGAACAATGTAATGGAGTTAGACAAACCATATTTTTACCAACAACACACAAGCCTCAAATAAGCACTGGAAGTATAAGCGCCGAACCTATGGTTTCTGTGCAGTATTGCCAAAAGTGTCAGGAGTGGTAATGTTACTACCCACTTGCAAGGTAAGTTGTAACAGACAGAGGGTTTAGTTGTAAAACATGCTTATAAAGTCAGGTTTCACACGATTACTTTAAATTTAGTTTACTTCAAATAGTTTATTTCCTTAGTACGTAACTCTTTTTAAATAAATACAAATTTTATGTAGCACAGCATGTTTATTTATTTATTTATTTATTGGATAAACACACTTGCATATATATATGGATTATTATATATTATTATACAACACATTTATTTGCTTTATTAGCAATAAAAAAATCTATTAAAAATATTTTTAATAAAAAAAAACTTCAAAATGGTTACATCTTTTAGCCTAGAAGACGGTAATCACAGCAATGTAAGATTTAACAACATACTTTCACATATTTTTTTTTAATTAAAAGTTATAAAATATAACAAAAAATGTTTAATAATTGGCAGGAAGACGGCTGCTGACACTAGTAAAAACCTCGGAAGCATGCCATGGTTAATCATGAGCAAATACCTTAAAACTCTGTGATGCATTTTATCCCACATTACTTTGTGCCCCACGCTCCCCTAACTTATAGTTTCTATGATTTAACGTTTTCAGAAGTGAAAACAAGGCAGATACAGATACGTTTTCACTGGTGTTAAACTCAAGATAAAGCACTGTAGCTAAAGGGATAGGAAGAGATTCAATTAAATAGTAACAACTTTCCTCAACATCTACTCATACGCAAGTGGTTCTAAACTTGTTCATTTCTTCTGTTGAACACAAAACAAGACATTCTGAACACTTGGGGGAAAGGCATTTACATCAATAGGAACAAAAAATAATATGAAAGTCAAAGGCTGCTGGTTTCCAACATCCCTCAGAGTATCTTCTTTCATGTTCAACAGATGAAAGAAACTCATGCAGGTTTAGACAAAATAGAGGGAGGGTGAAGGATGACCAAATAAAAATTTTTGG